TGAAGAAATACTGATCTCAACCTGTTCTTGATAATATATTGTAGCTCTTCTGGGGGCATGTTAGTGATCTTTTTGATCCCGTTTATATACCTTAACTATTGTCTTCTCCTCTTCTAAGTCCCTCAACCTTGTCGAGCAGAATTGTTTTTCTAGTTCCTCATCCACAGACATCACATGCCCAAAGTATTTGATTGGTGATCATTGCCTCAAGGCAGTAATCCGTTTTTAGGTAGTCCAGATTTTGATTTGGTCTTCTTGTAGCTCATAGTACTCTTAATAACATTTTCTAATTCATAATTCAAAGGCACTTATCTTCTTTTTCTTGCTCTTTCTCAGTGTCCAGCTTTCATAGCCCTACCTTACTATTGGAAAAACCCTTGTTTTAACTATGCTCTTATCACATCCTTATTCTTTGAGATGTTTCCTCTCCAGAAATAACCATGCTGGTTGAGATTAGCTTTGAGTCCTTAATTATAATGTTAACCTAGATTTTTTTCACTTTACAGCTTTACTTTGGTAATGAATTCTTCTATTTTTTTAAACTTTCACCTAACAAAATGGTGTCATCTGGATTATCTCAAATATTAGTGTTTTTGATCTCCAATAAAACAGACTGTATACATCCTTAATTCACTCTCTTCGCTTTTGTGAACCACTCTGTTTCTCTAAATTTAATTTGTACAGTAGCTTCTTGTTCATTGTAAAGATTCTGGTGCAGCCATTAGCCTTTATACACATTTCATATTACGCAATATTCATTAGCCTTAATATGCAAATAAGACTGATTACAGGAACACCAAAAATTGCCAATTACGAGAAGTATTTGATAGCTATTATTGCAGCTGAAAATGGTGCGATTGTTTACTCAATTTAAAGGGCTCGATTAATTTTTCTGCACTGGCATATTACACGTTGGATACTTGTTTGTGAAATAAATGAATCTAGCCCCAAACTTTGATGGTGTTCGTTCGTTTGGACAACCCCCATGAAGCCTTGAGAACATTCAACAGCAAAGATATGGGGGAAACAATCAGAAAATCTGGAGCAGGGCAAATATCTTCTTTTCACAAAGCTGTAGTCTGCAATATGGCATGATCTAAACAATCAAAGGCCTTGCTGTAGTCAATAAAGCAAAAGCAAGCTTCTTTTTTAAATTACCTTCCTCTCTCCAGTATCCATCTGATGTTACATCTAATTTGCATTTCTGTCTCCATATATTTGACTCTGTTTTGCCTGAGGAATTAGTGCATTGGTTGCACTTAGGTTGGTATTACCTTCTATGAATCTTATTATTGTTAATGTTTATCTACCCCAGGCTGCAGAAGGTGGTGACTATATTGCCAATTGGGACAAGCTTTTTAACTATATTTCATTTTTAACTAAAAAGTTTCCTGCAGATCAACTTTTTATGGCTGGTGATTTTAACGCTAGAATTGGAA